TTTGTCCCCCAAACTCATGCAGGAGTTTAATCCCCAATGCCTTATGTTAATAAAACTAGGTGGATGGAAACCTAACATGAATATGGAAGTGGCAGGAGGGACCTTAGGAAATGATTACATTAGAGTGGACACTGGAGTAGAGCTCCTACAAGTGACTCTTAGGGACATTATAAGCAGAAGAGGCACTCTACTGACACAGAGAGGTGCGCTCCCACCATGACATAACGCAGCCCAGGAAGCCGTTACCAGAGTCACACCATGTTGTTTGGTAACTCAAAGGTCTTATGCTAGGTGGTATTCTGCTGATGGCTTGACTGTTGGTAAAATGGGTGTATTGCATAGAGCCTGGCATGGCACCAGCAACCTTGTAGCCAAAAATTCATCAATAATGAACTTTACCCCCAGCCTAGCTTCTTTCTTAATACTGTCTTTTGTGAGAGTACAGACTACAGTCCTTCAGATGAATGACTATTGGAATGACCTTGACAGTCCTCCCTGGGGGTGTTGTCGTGCCATGCTCAGGGGTCAGTCCCTGCAAGGAAATCAGGCCCCATAGGATCAGGTTGGCTAGGTCTCTGGCAGCTAGGACACAGCTTGCCAGAGGTTTGAGTAAACCTGGGCAAGAAAAGTATTACTTTTCCAGTTACCCATGTGGAGCATATAGTATCACCATAAAGGCAGCTTGGCAAAGGAAATCTTCCAACTGGCAGTTCAGAGGAGGGGTAAAGAAAACTGACCAGCTAACTCCTTTTTCTTTTTTTAAAAATTTATACCAACTGCTTTTTATTATTGAGTTTCAGGCACCTTTCACAAGATGGTTAAAAAAAAAACCAAAAAACTTTACAATCATTGCTGATATAATTCTGCCACTGTTGCCAGTCGGCTCCAAACCCACTATGTGCAAAGCTCATTTTCCCATGCATCTATGATAGATACAGGCTATGAGATTCTTTATTCCTTTTGTAGCAGTTTATGTAGGTGCAGCCAAATACAAAGCTTCAGGGCAAACTGTACAAACTTTACAATGTGAGGTCTGAATTTAAAAAAAGAAATGTAAACTCCACACAAAACTGATAAAAATCAAGCACAGATACCAGGACTGAAACTTATAACCCGGATATGTGAAAGGGAGTCTTATTTCCTTTTGTGTGCTTTATTCCGCTACAGAACAGTCAAAATGAAGATGTAGGGGCTGGGGATTTAGCTCAG